AACTTTGCTTTTATCCAAAATCGTACATGGTATGTGACCCAAATACATTTCAGAGAGTGTAAAATATGCCACTGGGTTTATACATGCTTCTAAATTCAGCTGGACTTAACTCGATTCTCAAAACTCGGTGCAATACAGCAAAATATCTTTGTTCACAAACAAACGTTTCCATATTCAGTACACACCGAAAGCCACTAACATCAACCACGTACTGGCAATTCTAGACCCTACAAAGTCATTGCAGAATCTCTGATGAAAACCGATGGTGTTAGCGCCCTCTGGTGTCTCATAGTTTTCCATTACAAGACGTTGCCTATGGTCCCCTTTTGCATTTGCGCCAAATTTCAGAATGCTCTCTGATGAATATTTTTCTTTGCCCTTTCTCCCTTTGAAAATTGAGCTACTTTTGGAGATACTCCAAAATAGTTTATATTTCTGGCCAGGACACCAGGGTTACACCCCTACGTTTTTCGAGAAACGCCCTGGGATTTTTAATAACCACAGAGAGTCAGGACCCCAGTTTTACGTCTCATCCGATGGACGGCGCCTATTTACAGTACAGTGTCCCCGTCACTATACTCTAATAAAAAGGAAACCCAAAACACACAGTCTTCAGTGTCTTCAACACCCTAGCTAACCTCCACTGACTACCCAACTGGCCCCACTAACACCGCTTCCAGCAGCAACCTTAGTTTTTCCCAGGAGGTCTCCCATCCAGATACTGACCATGTTTACACCTGCTTAGCTTCAGTGGTTGCCAGTTGTGAGTTGCAGGGTGATATGGCTGCTGCAATTTACCCATCAATTCAGATATTTTACTGGTCCTGTTTATTCATGCAAATCGCAGACCCGTTCCAACTGGGTGTTATCTGAAATAAAAAGACACAAAGGCATCACAGGAAAAGTAAGCTCGCACTAAGACCAAATCCAAATCTCACCTCAGGATTTGTAATATTTAGCTTGAGCTTAAACTAATGGCTTGCGTATAGCTCTGTGCAACTTTGACTGACATTCCAAAAATGGGTACTCTGGATGCCCAGGTGAGGGTGCTTTAGCAATTCACATTTTAATACTGGCCCTACAGCTACTTCAACTGGAGTTAAACATCTCAAATCCAAATTCAAGAAGCCACTGATCTCATAGCTGGTGATTCTGTCCTACATACAGGCTACCAAAGGTTTCAATGTTCATTTCACCCTATTAGAAAGAATAGTCTGCATATGATGATTGCTGCTAAGTTTCTTAATTGACCACATTTCAGAATCAGGAATCATTATTTGAATTGAGATGATTACGAGTGCTCCATGGGACATACCGTTTTTAGAATTATTTTTTGTGTTTTGCTGTCTCCTAGACTAAATGACTTACTCACGTGGTATAATAATCCATATTTGATTATTCAAGGGATAAAGTAAAGGTCCATTTCACACTGAAAGGTAGAAAGAAGAAATTCTGTTTCGGCTGTTAAGTCTTATTGAGGTTAACAAGTTCAGCAACTAACAAGATGGGACACCAGGAAAAAAGCTTAATTTAAATCATCAGAGTTGATAGTTTTCATGTTCTAAAAGAGAAACTTCTGTATATTATCATAAAGTCCATTCAACACATTTCTGCCAGATATGCAGAACAACAACTACCATGAAAAACTGATATAATAGGAGCTTTAGAGATTGAATGATTGAATGGAGGAATACCTCTATTTACTGGATGCACATTTCTTTTGCCAATGTATATTATTCTGTTTGTCTGCTTTTGCTCAAGCCAAGTAATACCTGTTTTGTATCCCATATATTAAATTTGTAAGGATATATCTACTTACAGTCAATTTGTAAAAAAGCTGACTAAGAAAAAAAATAAAAAATCAACCAAGATGCATTAATGCACAATGGATTTATCATTTAACTGTTCCACCTAACTATCCAACTTCCTATTATGCCAGCTAAAGAACATTTACAACAGTGCATAGCTTAATGACCTGATTGATGGAAAAATTAAATGTTGCTTTCTAATCTTGTTGATAACAGAGTCTGCCACCAGGGGCCAGAGTAATTCAACAAATAAGAGTACTCTTGAACTCTCAGTGAAACTGTTAAAACAGGTTTTGGTTGACAGGTTCTTGAGAAAAATGTGCCTGAAAGTATTTTCAGAAAGTTTGTGGCTGACTACTGGTATATGTTACATATGTTAATCATTCCTTGACTTAAGGTTAAGTAGTTTATTATGTGGAATACCAATATCTATCTATCCTTCATTAGCAAACTGTTAATTCCTGATTCATGGCAATCCGGAGCCCATCCTGAAAGTAGAAGCAAATCAAGACTACGTCTTAAACATGACTAGCAAATCACTGGGACAGAAACACGCACAACCTACAGATACAATTTAGAAACATACTGTACCTTGCTATTATGCCTTTGCACACAATTACAAATACTCTAGATACTACAAATAGTCTAATACTTTTGTTGTTTTTTGTTTTGTTTGTTGTTTTGCTTTGTGTGTGTGTCTTCGGATAGCTTTGGCTTTGTTGTTTTGTTGGTTTTTGTTAGTTTGTTTGTGTTATCCTTGTTTTGCCATAATCTTGCCCTAACGTGTTATTTGTTCAACCCTTGTGTTCTTTTGTACCCTGTTCCTGTTGATTACTCTCGTTTTCCCTTATTTGTATTCCTAGTTCACTTGTGTTTTTGTGTGAACTTTTGTGAATAAGGTTAGTTTAGGTTGTTGGGTACATTCTACACACTTAGATGATTTTGTATTAGTAACACTAGTTTAGTACCGGTGATTGCCGTTTGTCTTGTATGGTTTTTGGGTAGTCAGTGGAGGTTAGCTAGGGTGTTGAAGACACCGAAGACCATGTGTTTCGGGTTCTTTTGGAGTCAGGTTAGCTTTCCCTCACTTTCTTAGCCAGCTCCATTTTTGTTTGTTATTTTCTTTTCTTTGGCACCACTCTAGTTCCTTACCCCTATGTGTTTTTGTCTTAATACCAGTCACTTATTCACCTTAAAATCATCACTTTTGCACCGACCCTTAATATCACGCTTGCTAGTCCCTTGCCAGAACCCACCTGCTTCTAAAAATTATCCTAAATCTTACACCCCTTTACCCCTAGACACTTGGGGTCGTAACACCCAAAGTACCCAAATGTCCCCAGTTTGCACTTCCCAAACGTTCCCACTGTACCCTAATGTTGCCTAATTTTGCCAGTGTAACTGAATGTTCCCCAGTGTTACCAGTGTGATTAAAATGTTCCCAAATAGTCCTACTGTACCCAAATGTTCTCTTATGTTCCCATAAATTCCTAGAGTAACCAAATGTTTGCTAATGTTCCCAGTGTACCCATAAATTCCTAATGCTCCTAGTGGACCAGAATGTTCAGTAATGCTTCCACTGTAACCAAAAGATCCCTAATTTTCTAACTGTACCCAAATGTCCAATAATGTTCCCAGTGAACCCAAATAATCCCTAATGCTTCCAGTTTACCCAATATTCTGCTGGAGTATGATACAGACGTCTGCTGTATTTGTGAAAGCTTTCACTTGATTGATAACCGTGAATTGAGTCACATTTGAAGTAACATATGTGTGTGCATGACAAAGGACATTTTGAAAATATCAGTCCCTTTAATTTGTGTATCTTTTGCTTGTGATTGGTTCCGGATGTAATTCTGGAGCCAATCACAAGCAAATTTAAAGATCTCTACAGCTAAATTTTGAACATTGTGACCCAAAGCAAGGAAATCTTCGCCAACAAGGACACAAACACAAGCTTGTTTCCACCACCAGGGGTTGTATTGGGATTTATGCAGTAGTTCATGAGCCTATGTAAGAGACACATACAGTAACTGTGTTCATTACAATAATAAATAAATTCAAGTATTAATGATGGTGAAAACAGACTAATGCCTTTGTATTTATCTAATAATGTACTTAAACCGGTTATTTCAGTGTTAACCATATATTTCAAAATCATTATTTGCATTTCACAATGATCATTTTCGCTAAATATCAAAGGCTTAGCAGTATACAGTACAAATGTCAATAACATGACATTCAGAGTGAAATACTTGTGTAAATCTCTAGATTCTGCTTTTTTAATGATGAAATATCATCCTCTTTTGATGAATTGCTTGTAGAAATGCTATGTTAAAAAAGGAACATACAGCATACACATTTGTGAATGACCTTGAATTTTCATGGTTTTGTATGTTTTGTCCTGTTATAATTATTATGGACGGTTTATCAACTCCTCTGGGAAAATGTGGGTGTCTATAGGATGTCATATTTCCACTATTGCAATGAAAAATCTATGTGGAAGTAATACAATCCATAACCTGTAGACCTTCTAATTTAATTGAATACCCTTGAGACATGTTTGAACAGGGGTGTAGCAAAATAAAATTTTAAATATTGCAGGTGTTGGCTTAAAGCCAACTACATTGCAATGCTTGTAGGATGTTCCTGTTTTGACATGATATACGTGTGGGAATATTAATACATGACTGTAGGGTATTTATCAGATTATTTTTATCACAGAATTTGGAAATGATAACCACAGGATGATATTCAAAGATTTATGTCCATTTCAATTTGCTTCTTACAGGGTCTGAAGGGTTAACATTTTACAAGAGACTATATATGTGGAATGTATATATTAATTTCCAACTTTAGACTGGATTTTATTTAGGGACTGTAAAGAAACGTTGATTTTTTGTTTTTCTTACACCTTGGAATTTTTACTTACAGTTTGATAAATCCTGTCGTCGCCCCTTATGCTAATCGGGTTTGTCTGGAATAACTAAGTACTCCATTATATTGTAGCGAATTCGTTACAATATATTCTCTTAACATTTGTGTATTCGTAATACCAGATCGCTACAATGTCTCTACCAGACAATGACACCATTATCGAATCCTGCATTCTCTGCTGACGTCCCGAAGCAACCGTAGTATCATGTCCATTCACAACCACGGTTATCCCTCCAGTATCCCTGCATTCCCTGACGGAGCAGCAGCTGCTGACGGCCGCCATGTTGGTCTCGGTTTTGCCTGCAGCAAGCTAGAAGTGAGACAGCAGCAGATGGAACAGCAGGGAAACAGGGATCTGGAGAGAGATGTACAAAAACACCAAAAATATCCCTGAAACGTAAGCGAATCCAATACTGGACTAGCTCGGACGGAACTGCTACAAAAATGAGAAACCGTTATAATTCCTTAATTTAAATGGGAGAGCTTTGGGAAGGACAGAATAAAAATGGAATAAACTAAAGGTTTTTTTTTCTATCGCAGACTCAACAGAGGAGGGGCTTTGGGCTTTTTATATTGCAGATTTGCCATTGATGCGTTTTTTCGTGTGTTCCTTTTTGGTGCATTGTGGAAGACAGACTAATAACTTGGGAGGATCATTTTAACTGTTTTTTTTTACCATGACATGGAAGTGAATTGTCTATAGTTTTCTGGAAGAGGCGAATTTACGAAAGGAATTATTGTTGCTGCTACTAGAGTTACAAGCCAGCCGGTTTGGGCAGGGTCTGGGTGTTCTTATTTATTCCTTAAAAATAAAAAATGAAGAAACGCTCTTTTCAATCCCTCCTTTGAAGGTGTATTCATTTTAGGATAAAGATCATAATTCTTTATTGTTCAAATCGAAGTTTAGACAATTAAGTCAGGCTGTGCAGGCTACAAAAAAGCTGTAGACCCGCACCAGTATAAAATATAACGCAATCACTGTTTAAATATTTTTTTTCTTGTTATTTAAATCTCACAATTGTAAATATTTTAAACAATGTCTGGGGAGGTACGTTTGAAGAAGCTGGAGAACCTCATTTTGGACGGGCCGGCTCAGTCTAATGGGCAAAGCTTCAGTGTGGAAACATTATTGGATATTCTCATTTGCCTCTATGATGAGTGCAACAACTCCCCGCTTAGAAGAGAGAAGAATGTGCTGGAGTTTCTCGAATGGGGTAAGGCTCTTGAAAATATTACACATTTAAGATGCACTGAAGATCTCTCCTCCTTCCGCCCCCTCCTTAACAGCAGCACGACCATAACCTACATTGACTGTTTTTTTTTTTAAAGTGCTGTCTGCTCATTCACAAACCGCTTAGCTTTTTGCGATCGCGATGGTAGTCTTACGTGGAGCAGTACTTCTTACAGACTGGTTCATCATTTTGAGATGTATATTGGGTAGATGGCTTGTGATATTCCTGTATAGTGGGGTTGTGACTTCTGCCTTGGGGGAGGGGGGAGGTTGATGGAAAAGAAGAATGTCGCACTCATGGGGGACATTCAGTTGCCAGCTGTGACAAATGTGTGCGAAACTCCAATACGAAACAAAAGAGCAGGTACTGTCGGAAAATCCGGCGGTGAGTCTGCATGTGGTGAAAATATCCGTGAATAGACATCAACCAGCTGTACACTCTGCATAACGTACTTCTTAAGCACTTACAGTGAACACCCACAAAGGCTCACTTCCACGCGATTCAGTGTTTCGTCACTGTCATGCAATTGAACCAATTTGTATTTTAGGACCACTTTAAACTGTACCCGATTTAAAATTGTGCTTCATTTTATGTCCTTGTGTTGTGGAGTTTATTTTCCGGTGTGCCGGGCTTCTAAATTCCATAGTGACATTTCGGGTTTGAGAGACCTCTTCTCAGGATGTCAACCAATTCCATATTCCCCAGCCTAGATAAGTGTTTTAGGATTTTGACCCAAATGCATTTCAGCATTTTCTGATTTGTTTTAGGACGACATCAAAGTAATATTTCTCTATATTCTAAATAATGCTATCAATAAACGAATGCTAAATCTGCGTACATACATGTTAATGATATGTGAACTAGTTTAAACGCCAGTAGTAACGTTTTATGATCAGTGTTTAAGTGGAATACAAATTGGTGATTGAGATTTACAGGAATGTCTTTCCAATGTCTTGGAAAATAAATAATTATTTTCGCGTTTTTCCTTCTTCAATGTTTAGTGTATGGTGCACATGTGATAATAGGCAACAAATTCAGCGTTACAAAGAAAACCATTAAATTGACTGATCTTGAGTTACAAGCACAGTACTGAACGTCTTAAAGGTTGTGTGGTTTCCCAACAAAACATCATCTTGAAATTTCCACCTTTTGTATCCCTCATTATTTGGAATCTTTTGGCAGGGCATTTGATAATTGTATGAATGTGCTTCTGATGAATTACAGCAAATAACATTGATAGGTGACTGAACAGTCAGTGTCTAATGTCACTTGTACTGAGTGACTGCCAGTGTGTAATTACAGACAATACAACAAGCCCTGCCAAGGTCATGCTACGTTTTGACAATTCTTAATGTAATCATTTCTAAGTGATCAGGAAGCTTTTTTTATTATGTTGGTAGAATATTAAATTGATTACAAAATGAGTCTGTATGATAGTCATAACATTTTACTTTTAGCAGATGTATAGTGTATCTAAGTTCATTTAGCCTTCAGTTCTTTTAGTATATTCTTTACAGTAGAGGTCCGCTGATATTGATATTTCCAGGCTAATGCCAATGCTGAGATTTTCAAAACCAGGCAGGCCTATGTCTGCATTAAATGAACATGAACAGTTTGTTAAACATACGAACATGCACCACTGAATGTTTTTTAAAAGCACAAAGCCCTTGTAATGTCAAATAAAACCATGTAAACAACTAAAAATACAAACGTCTTGCATTTTATTGTGCAGGGACAGTGTCAGAAAGTCAATGAAAGAAATGTATTTTTTCTCTACTCGAAAAAGCAGTATTGTAATATACGTTAACAAAGACTAATTTTTTATATGAATTGCTACAGTGTTTTTAAAATGGATCCACGGGGTATATTGGGTGAGGTGTCAGTTATATCAAAGTATTAAACATGTTTTTAGATAAAATGCAGTTCTATGAATGTATTTTAAGACATATAAGGGAAATAAATGGCTGGGGAGTGGCTTTATCAAACAAAGGGTATTTTTTTCTATTTAAATTCAAGATAACAGTGAAGATTACTTCAGCTGGATATACTAGGCCAATACATTTCCAAAGATCTGTGCATCAGTGTCTTGTAGTGTTTCTTCTTAAAGGAATTTTGGTCCTCTGATGTGCTGTTTTACTTTATGTAAAATGGAACAGCTGCCCATTTTCTGACTGGCAAAGTACTGACAGTGCCTTTTTTAAAATGAATGATATTCATTTTTTAAGATGAATGATATTTAAAATATGATATTCCACCATGAGGTTATTTTATTATCCAAATCAAATTTAAATTTGATAAAATTCTAATTTCCTAGGAAAATAAAAGATGCAGTGAATTACTTTCAGTGATTTGTTGTAGCTAACAGTAGTTCCTGTGAAATGAAAATACATGCTTTATTTTCCTTAAATTTGTGTAAAGTTTTTTTTTTAAGGCAGAGGTTGTATTCTGAAAGCACGGAAACAGATGTAGACTGGATTTTATTTCGACTATCTTTATTCAGTTAAATCATGAAGAGATCATTCTGAATAAAAAACATCAATACCTTGTAGCCCTGAAGGTCCATGGTTAGCAAAACAAATCAGAAGTGTTTGATGGTTCTTGCTTCAAGTGAATGGAAGATTAAAGGTTAGGGCTGTTAAATAAACCCTATAAATTAATCTCAATGGGGCCAGAGTTGGTCACCCCTGAACTAAAGTATTGACCCTAAAGACCAATTTCTCAGGATTGTAATTAGGGACTTCCCTTATTCCTCTTCTCTGCAAATACAGCCGTATCAAAGTATTCTAAATGCATCATGTTTTTTTTGTACATGTGGATTAAGAATGTGCTTACAGGGCCCTGAGTGTTACACATCAAACTTGGTTGAAATAAGTGTACTCAAAAAAAGGTTGGTTATAGAACAGTAGTCTACTAAAAATACCAGATGGCCTTTTTATTATATGACTTGTGCCTGGAAAGCTGTTATTTTCACAACATTGATGTTAGAGTTGCTCATGGTTGGAAGGGTTGCTCATGTTTGCCTCTGAAGGTAACAGGGCCATATATTTTTGCTGTTTAATATAACCCAACCTTTTTGCACGTTTTAAAAGATGGTTTTATGTGGCTGTGATTCTGAAAGGGTGTGAGGGTGACATGGAACTCTTTTGAAGTTGCTGCTGAGCCTTGGGCAGCAGCTGTCATTTCCTTTGGGACTGTGCTTGGCTGTGGCAGCTGCAGGAAGCTAAGAGGTATGACTGTATGAAGTCATTCCAGGAAAGCATTAGAAATCTCCTGAGGGACTGTGAACTGTCCTGGACACAATGGCAGGGCTCTAGAGAGAAGGTCAGTCAGTAAGAAGGAAAAAAAAAAAAACTAAGAAAAAAACATTTATGGAAGACTGAGCAGGCATGATTTCAATTTTTCATTAGGCTTACATAATGAGGTAGCTTTCACTGTGTTAGCAGGGAATTCGAGTTTATCTGATGCTCTTAAGTTTTACACCATCTTTGACCTTTGTATTTTTCAGCATTTTTGGTCCCCCAACAATAAGGGAAACAAAGTGGTGTGTTGTCTGATGCATCTTCACTTACCACGTTTAAGTAATAGAGAATATTGTGTGAGAAAACTGGTATCTGATACATGATTGGTTTTCTAACCCCATAATGTAGCCTATTTAGTTAAAAAAGATAAGAGGGTTACATTTAAGAAGGCTTTGCTCTTCTACTCATCACCTATCATTTAGGAGTCTAGAACAAACTACTCAGCCATTTTGTTGAATACAATACCTTGCCTTCATTCAAGACATGGCAGGATGACATAACTGGATCAGTTTGGTACCAGCAACAAAACAGGCTAGATTGACCAAATGGTCCGTGGCATTTGTAATCTTTTTTATATTATTATTTTTACCCACTCACCGTTTAAGAAGAAAGCAACCAGCAATCATCACTATTGAGTCACTGTGCAATTTATAGTGTTCATTGGTAATTGCTCTATTCCGAAATGAATGACCATATTGGTGAGACTTCGATTCCGCTGGACTTTGACTTGAACTCAGGTCATTGACCTAATTTCTATAAGTAACTGCCAAAATTAAGGAAACGCCAACATAAAGTGTCTTAACAGGGCATTGGGCCACTATGAGTTGCAAGAAGAGCTTCACCGTGCCTTGGTATAGATTCTTCAAGTGTCTGGAACTCAGTTGGAGAGGTTTGACACCATTCTTTGTCAGAAAATGATTCGAAAATCCATCATTTGGCATTTTGTGATAATGGTGGAAAACTGCCTTGGATGCTGTCTGAGAAACTCATACATGTTCAATTGGGCTGAGATCTGGTGACTGGAATGGCTATGGCATATGGTTCTACATAATTTTCATGCTCATTTAACCATTCAGTAACCATTTATGCCACGTGGATAGAAATGCTTTACCATTGGATGAACATGATCACTCAGAATGGCTTTGTATTTTTTGGCATTTATCTTGCCCTCTAAGGGGTTGAATGGAAGTAAATGATGCCAGGAAACCATGTCTGGAAATCAAGGACCCCACAGTATAAAATAGCTGCCAGATCCCTTTGCCATGGGAAACAAGCTCTTAAGCCTGCAGGTCACATGTGCACCTGTCTGCTTGTTGAGAACAGGTTGACTGGTGGCTCATCTAGCTGCCTTTTTTCACAGCTCAATGGATTGTGTTCTTTGTACCATTTTATGCATAAAAGTGACTGTTTTGGGTATAATAAGGGCTTAAAACATTACTCCCCATCATAATATCCCTCTCTGTGATGTGCTTGATGGACTGTACCTGAAACTGAAACTGCCTGCTCACCCCTTAGGTTCACATTTACAGTCAGCTGGTTTGCTTTTCATCTTAAACCACTGCACAGACATCACAGTCAAGAAGTATGCACTTTCATCCACCTTTGCCCCTAGATTATGTTTTTCCACTCATGCTTCCATGCCAGTATTATTGTAGTCACTGTTCCTCGTGAACCATCAGCGTG